GTTGCTGCACAATGCTGCACAGTGGTGGAGTGCAGGGTTTCACGTAAGTGGGGCTTATTTTGGGGGAGGGCTTATATTACAAGCATCCTGAAAATTCATACTAGGGCTTATTTTCAAGGAAACAGGGCACCATCTCCACATAAAAATTGGAGGTTGTTCATGACTTTGTGTACCTTGGCTCAACAATCTCTGACACTCTCTCCCTAGATGTTGAGCTGGATAAACACATTGCCAAACCAGCTACCATATTCTCTAGACTCACAAAGAGAGTATGGCTTAATAAGAAGCTGACGGCATATACAAAGATCCAGGTCTATAGAGCCTGTGTCCTGAGTACACTCCTGTACTGCAGTGAGTCCTGGACCCTTCATGCATGGCAGGAGAGAAAGCTGAACATATTCCATATGCGTTGCCTCCGACTGATTTTGGTATCACCTGGCAGGACAAAGTTCCAAATAGAAGAGTCCTAGAACAAGCTTGAATTTTTAGCATGTATATATTACCGAAACAGTGACGTCCACGTTGGCTGGGGCATGTTGTGAGAATGGATGGCGGTCGGATTCCAAAAGATCTCCTGTATGGAGAATTAGTGCAGGGAAATCACTCCAGGGGGATACCACATTTTGTGGCTAGTGCAGAAAAAAAATTATGAGAGTCCCAAAAATTCATGGCAGACGATTGTGCCAGATCTGCTTCTTAAGATGAGTTCAAACGCGTGCTGCAAACTTTAGTGGGGGTGTGGGTTCTAACTCTACCCCAAGTAGAAATTAGCTAGATTTCTTATCATGATTCTTCAAACTCTCCTCCTGTCAGCATCCAAATTGTTTCTAGCTGATGGATAGTAAAACAGTTAGTCAGTTTATTAATAAAACTTAATAGATGTTTCAATTAAAATGAGCCCAGTTATTTTCCACCCTGTCTGTTTTTAATTTATTTCTTTACAAGGTCTTGTGTGTACGTGTGTGTGTGTTTTACAATAAATATTTCCTAATCTTTCTTTTCTTGGGGAGCGAAGCCTAGTATCAGAAAATCAGCTTTGGGATTGAGTCTAGAGCTGGCGCAGGCTATGAAAAGGAGCCAGCCTCTTGAGGCCTGCTAGTTGGTGGTGTCTTTCATTAAGGCAGTGAATATCTGTCAAGAATAGCTGCTGTTCTTTCTTTCCCTGATGAGCAATCATGAATGTATGTTATTATGTTTTATCGCTTGATGCAGTGTATAAATGGAGCACCGTGATGAATTACCTGGTGCCAATTCTGCTCATCTGTTACTGAAGCTGATATGTCATGCAGATTGCCATGCCAGCCTGCAGAGACTTGATTTTTCTAGTGGAAAATGAACATTTGCAGATCTCTGGCTACCTTTCTGCAGGCATAATTCCAGCCTTTTGGATGATCCTGTCACCGAGACATTCCTTAGGTCTATGGGTGGAACGCTTCTTCATTAGGAGCGGCTGGAGCCTGTCAATTTACCTCACTTTCATGCCAACAGTAACAGCAGTACCTTTTGCTCTCAGTACTGAAACTGGCATGTTTGGCATTCAGAGGCCAAAAAAAATATAAATAAAAATTAAAAAGTTGGGAGCCAGGACAGCCATCCAATTAGACTTCCCTCCTGCTCCTTCTCTGTTTCAAGAATCTACCCACAATCTCTCTTGATTCTTTTTCTCCCAGATGTTGGCAGAAACTGAATCTTCTTCAAATTTGATAAATGTTTAATAGGAAGTCAACTGACACTATTTCATCTGTAGTCCTGGGGACTGGAAGCTTCCAGCTAATGCCATTCTCTGCTGTTTCTGTGTTGTCCAGGTCACAGTCCCTGTCCAGCATTCAAGGTTGCCAATTAATGCCACCAAACAAGGACAAAAGAGGACACAGATTTGTATAAAAGTTACACATGTTTGTTTGTATGGATAGTTGCATATTCAGAAATAATTCCTAAAATTTAAATAGAAATGTAAACCATGTCGCTGTCATGGGGAGAATTTTGAGCAGGTGACCTGCATGCTTGCTTAGTGTGTTCTTGTCAGGTACTAGTAGGTATCTTCAGAGCCTTAATCGTACCTTCTAATGATTCTTTATGTGTAACCTGTACCTGGCACCAGATAATCCGTCAGATAGGGACCACCTTCATTATAAGCCTGCTTTCTATAAAGTTGAAGAGATGATGACTCTTCCAAACATTATTTTAGTCTTGCCCAAACTAGGTTTAATGATTGTACTGACAAGCAAGCCTTCTTTTCCCATCTGATGAAAAAAACAACAACAACTGTAAGTAAACTCATAAATACTGCTGTCCCAAGCCAACTACACCAGAGCGCAGAGTGCTGTCCTCTGAAGATGCTGGCCACAGAGACTGGTGAAATGTCAGAAAGAATAACCTTCAGAACACAGCCAAAGAGCCCGAAAAACCCACAACAACCAACAAACTCTTTATTCTTGCAACAGATCAAAGCTGTAGTGGTTGGTGCCCCTTGTGACTGGTGGGGCAGAAGGCACTAGCATTGCTAGAGTGATGGCTTTCTGTTACTGGATGCTGCTTTCC